ATCCTAGAGTGTACTAGGACGTGTACCGTGTCCGTCTTTTCGTTTTTGTCCGGTCATGGGTGCTGACCTGCAATGCCACTTTTTGTAACATGTTAAAATGCGCTGCTTTTAATGCATTGTGTTCACGGTCTTGTTTGAGATGGTTATCGCCCGCCCTCTTATAACATCAACCCCTGTGCGCCGGCACACTGAGTATTTCACGCAAACACGCGGCACCCGCTATAGCGTCGGGCCTACCTAGGGATGCACACTTGCGGGTCTTAGCGATACCATACCTCCATCGTTTCACTTGTCCCTGAAATAAGAGGGCTATTTCGTAGTCGGGTCACTTGACGGGGTATAGGGGAAGAGTTGTCCCGTGATCGTACAGGCGGGCGGCTAGCAGAGTATGCAGTGACATGAATGTGATGTGGCAGGCCTGTATCCGGTACAATGCATTACCTGAAGCATAACTCGAGGGAGTAGCTGCACATAAAAGGACTCTTCTTTAAACGCCACGCATTATCTGACAGTGGTATCCTGTGTCGTCTCAGTGCTTTCATACTAAGTCAACCCCTAAAACAGGCTGCCCTTTAACTTTGAACTCATCCATCGACAACGGATATCCACTATATACAGCTTTAAGTTAGTTTTAAATTAAATACCGCGGCAACGTATTTGTGCCTCTCACTTTTTCTTTTAAATAATAAAATAAGTTCGTGGAATGGTAACCAAAATAAACATTACTTTTAGTTTTACTTTTTATTTGGAATGTGCTGCGCGGAAATGTCGCCGATTAATTAATTATAGCAATTCTATCCGGAAATGCAATCTGTCTATTTTTATTTTGAAAGTGAAATGGAACATGGAATGTTTGTATTGTTCTTTTAATGATGGGTGCAAGTAGCAACGAATAACCTACGGCGATCTAGACCTGTAATTATGTCGATTACGTTGCCGAGGACCATATTTCATATTCTCACCATTCAGACTAAAATGTTGATTTCAATCATGCTACATCAGTCAAACGCAAAGAGCAAGAACTGGCAATTGACGGCCTTGTATTTTGTTAGAACAATTTCATGCCCAACTCGAGTAAATCAGTGTCGTGACCTAAATTTTGAAACGCCATTTTCCCGACATCCGTCGTTAAGATGGCGCATGTAATCGAATCTAGGAAAAACACGCAAAATCTCGATCATGGATGTGTGTTTACTAATCACACTTACATGCACATCGTAGACTTAGAAGTATATTGTAAATTCCAAAGTGTCTTAGTTGTGTTGCTGTGAAGATTTATGTAAAACATATTGTATACAAATATAGAAATCTCCATATTAAATAGTAACAAACCGCGCAGTGATAAAAGGTGATGTAGAACGGGAAATATTATGCTCTCCGATCTATTATCAAAGTTGTTTCCATAATCTCCATTTTTTTATTTAAACAAAATGGAACGAGGAGTGGTGCGGGAGCGGGTCAGAATTCCCACAATCTTTGAGCAAATAATTATGAAAATACGCAAATTTAATTTCAGAACAGCCATGCGTTTTTAGGGAGGAGAGTGGAATAATACGGTGAATAATTTACCTGGATTCGTGCTTCGTTTAGTTTGGTGACTCGGGCTAGCTCTTCGCGACAGTAAATATCTGGATAATGACTTTTAGCGAAGGCTGCTTCCAACTCTTGTAGTTGTTCTTGCGTGAATGTGGTACGATGCCTTCTTCGAGCAGGTGTCGGGCACGTTGTGGCAGCCGAACTGCCGCTGATTGAAGAGGAATGGGTCGGAGTCGGTCCCGTTGCTGAACCAGCACTGCCCGTAGGTGCCGATGCGCTGGGCGCCGTGCCGTCGTTCGGCTTTAACTTTTTAAATGCTCCTTCCGGGCCATCTCCTGTAATGAAAACAAATGATGGGTTGGTCACAAACTCACTAGCGGCAGCTCCGATGTGAGAACCCCCATAAGAATATCGAAACCCCCTTTATTGTGTTTACTGTATTACAGATAATTAATGAGAAGTAACACCATAACATCGCCCATATACTAAGATATGCGCTATTTCTTGAAAGTGCGACTGATGAGATGGGTTGAAACTACTAATAGATCGTGTGTGTTTTCCTCAAATATGTTGTCAAAAAAACTTTATAGCGCATATCCGTGTTTGCACGCACAAGATAGAGTATTTACAAGGGGACCGCAAGTTTTATGAAGTTATTCGAGGGGATATAACGCAATGTCAGTTCAATAGCGATGTGATATCTGTCCAGTGCTTTGCGCAACGAAACGCAAGACAACTTGAAGCAGAGAAGAGAAACCTACTCAACTGTCTCTGTGCTAAAAGTATAAAAAGCGCATTTGAAACGAGACATACGGCTATCATATTGTAGATTTCATCAGTCATTTTCTCTGTGGAATTGCACACGATTCCACCCTCTCCATTAAGAGATCAAACTTCACTCGATGTATCCATTAGGCCGTGGTCAACGTTCCACAAACGTCATGCATGTACCATTCTGACAAACAAACACGCCATGTTGACTTTCGTATTGTTGCCAGGGAAAGTGTTGTCAGTATTTGCCAAAGAAGTTGTCGTTTTTTTCTTCAGTTTATTGATCGTAGAAAAAGAAGAGAAGATCGTGGAAAATAAACCTTCTGTGGATTATTGATAGGCGCCGACAGCGAGGTTAAAAGAGAATTTAAACAATGCCATTCCACAAGAGAGCCATGAAAGTTTGATGCGCTGTGCCCGTCGACAGGGCCCCGAGATGGATACGAACACGCACTTTACGCGCGATAATGGTGTCTAGATTCCCCAAACATGTAGTAGAATGGGAAAAGCAACGAAAGAAAATGTCTCCAAAAAGCGCTAAAAGCCTGACCTGCGACCACCTTGTCGTTTTTTTAAAGAGAAAAGTGCTCCGAAATCGTCGATATTTGTCAGGAAAATGAGAGGGATGGTAACCGAGTGATAAATGGCGAGGGAAACATATACATATACGGAGGTTTGAATAGATAAGTGACTACAGTATTTGTAAAATTGTTATAATGTTATCGATACTGAGCGAAACAAAATAAAATAAAAAGGTCTTATTCTTGGGGAAAAAATCATTTAAAAAAAAGAAATAGGGCCGCATCAAAACATTCGAGAAATTTGAACAAGTATAGACAATCGACAACAGACAGTTCCAAACAAGAAAGGTAAATGACGGAAAATTGGAAAAGTGATATTCCAGATAGAATTAATAAAAGAAAATGGGTTTTTACCGGGTTGTTGATAAGTCAGGTAAGAAGTGTATCCTACATCGCTAAATGGGGATGGTTTCATCATACTTGTGTCCTGCATCATGGCTTCCTCGCTAGTATACACTGATATAAACGGGAACAATTAAATATACGACGATCACGATGGTCGACGGAACCTAAATGGCAATTGGCCTTTTTACAGAGCTATCGCTACCTCAACCGTATATGCAAATGTGGATAATGAGAATCGGGCCAAACAGCGCCTAGCTCTGACAGCCAATCTACGACAATTTAATCTGAAATATTTGAAATTTTAATCACAACATCAAAGTTTCATTACCATTAAAATGCCACTAGAGAGCGGGATAGTGATATGGAATGAGAGTCAGGCAGTTTGGTTGGTGTATCCTCTATTATGGAATGAAAAGAAAAAACACACACACACGTACGCAAACGAAGTGTCAGCCAATCGCCGGCACTGACCTCCGCCATCACGAAGTGAAATCATCACAAGACGAACACCACTGAAGTGTTCTCGGCAAAGTAATGCCGGGGTCATCATTGAGCAGACTTTTCATCAAAACGAATTCCGATAGTCTTTTGTGAAAATTAATAGCCTATTCACGTTATTTTACGATTATCATTGGATATTTTATTGAGAATCGACCCGTCACTCACGCTAACACTGTCAGCCTATCGATCTTAATGGCAATATCGTTCGCGATTCAGCGTTCATCAAGTACAGTGCCAAGAGTTTTGAGCAACAAACACATAACACCGGAGTAGAGACAAATTATGTGACGTAATACTGCATTGATTTCATTCCTGAATTACATCCAATATATTAGATTATGGTGTTCATTACACCATCAAGTAAGACGCGGAAACATTGACTCTCAATATTGTCAGCTTGTCTATAAATTGCTCTATAATAAGCATTTGAGATAATAATAATGTATAAACACAAGTCAACCTTTTTTTTTAAAAAAAGGACAAACTATTACTAGTACGACCCCAGCATATTGCACTTGTCTAAACACATCGGGGTAAAAGTTGCATCAAATAATATCCAGAAAAACGTCACGAACTTTTCTCAAAATTAAACATAAACAGCAGAGATTTAGCATCGTTGTCGGTTATAATATTGACGTTTATTTTAAAATAAAAACGAGGAAAACGTGTTTATTTTGGTTTAATTTCGTTGACGTGGCGAACGTGTTGATTTGATCACGGTGTTTTTCGTGATTGAGCTCGCCGACTTTGTGTCAACATCGCGATTCGCACAATTGGCTTTGACTTTGCTTCTGTAGCCACTTTGTTTCTTTAGTTTTTATTGCAGGGGTTTTGGGTAAACAAAACACATTGACACCGTATTCTAAACAATGCTCTCTCATCCGCGGCACGTGGAACCAGCGGGTTG